GTGTTTCCCAAACTTGGGACGCTGCTTGTTGTAGGGAAAGCCCCTGGTGGGCCGGGCCGGTTTGTTTACCTGCCCCGGCCGATCGCGGCTCCCACTGGCCAATGGGAGTTGCTGGAAGCGGCGGCCAGTACGTCCCTTCCAGCAGCTCCCATTGGCCTGGAGCAGCGAACCGCAGCCAGTGGGAGCCGCGATTGGCTGAACCTGCGGACGCAGCAGGTAAACAAACCGGCCCGGCCCGCCAGGGGCTTTCCCTACACAAGCGGCGTCCTAAGTTTGGAAAACACTGATCTAGAGAGTTCAAGATGTTAAAGTTAATAAACACATTTGTTGTCAAACCCTTGTACCAAGTTGTGAGGTTCAGTCACTGTTTCATCAGTGAGAGCTAAATCTGTTAACTGTTTAGTGCTGATGAATGGTCAGGTACATCCAAGTAAAACACACTGGCAGTCCTGGTGAATTTAGCAGATACATCCTAATGTTCACTTGATTTCATTGAAATATGAATGGATGACAGTACAGTTGTTGCATCAGAAGACTAGTAGCCAAAAGGCTGAAAGTCTGTTGTACTTAAGTTTATGGCACTACCTCTGTATATAAAAATGAAATTCCTTTTCAGTATTATGCAAACTTCTAAAGACAGGAACAATTTTTCTTTCTGATCTAGAGGATTTGGAGATATCAAGAACTCATAATTTCTAACCCTGGCTTTGCTGCAGAGTTGTATTGTGGCCTTGGGCAAATCACTCAAGCTAAAATTTTCAAAAGTGTCCGTTCGTTATGGATACCTCAGTCTTTGGATGCTCGGTTTGAGACAGGAGGGGCCTGATTTTCAGTACCTACAGTTTCATCAGATGTCAGTTCATGCTGCAGGTGCTCAGTATGTCTGCAAATTTTGTTTTGGGTGTCAAAAGTTGGGTACCCAAAAATAATGGTTAGTTTTGAAAATGGCCTGGACTTCTGTTTCCCCATCACTAACGTGGGAATACTGAAACCCAGCCTTAAAGGGGTGAAGATTGAGCTATTGTGTTGTGTATCTTCCTTCATCACTATTACTCCTGTAGTCAGTAAATGACTCTTGCAGTGATGTGTGAGGCAAAAAGAATGCACAGGGATTGCTATAATACCAACTAAAAAAAATCTTCCTAAGCACCTGAAAAGAACTGCCACTCAATGTGCCCTGTCCCTTGTAAAGAGCCACAAAACACTGTGTTTTGGGTAGAAGGAAAATGGGAGACTGTCCGGTTTTACTAATAGTCATAAGAACATAAGAATGGCCATACTGGGTCAGACCAAGGGTCCATCATAGCCTAGTATCCTGTCTTATGACTGTGGCCAGATGCTTCAGAGAGAATGAACAGAAAAGAGCAATTATCAAATGATCCATCCCCTGTCATCCAGGCGTAGCTTCTAGTAGTCAGAGGTTTAGGAACACTCAGGGCAGGTCTACACTACCCGCCTGAATTGGCGGGTAGAAATCGACCTCTCGGGGATCGATTTATCGCGTCCCGTCAGGACGCGACAATCGATCCCCGAATCGACGCTCTTACTCCACCAGCGAAGGTGGGAGTAAGAGCCGTCGACGGGAAGCCGCGGAGGTCGATTTTGCCGCCGTCCTCACAGCGGGGTAAGTCGGCTGCGATACGTCGAATTCAGCTACGCTATTCGTGTAGCTGAATTTGCGTATCTTAAATCGACACACCCCCCCCTGTAGTGAAGACGTAGCCTCAGAGCAGGGGGTTGCATCCCTGATAATCTTGGCTTATAACCATTGAAGGATCTTTCCTCCATGGACTTATCTAATCTTTTTGTAACTCAGGTATACTTTTGTCCTTCACAACATCCCCTGGCAATGAGTTACGCAAGTTGACTGTACATTGTATGAAGAAGTACTTCCTTATGTTTGTTTTAAACCTATGCATTTTGTTGGGTGACCCCAGGATCTTGTACTGTGTGAAAGAGTAAATAATACTTTTTCTCAACACCATTCATGATTTTATAGACCTCTAACATATCCCCCCTTAGCTGTCTCTTTTCTAAGATGAACACTCCCAGTCTCTGTATGTGTTTCAACTCTAATATGTCTTTTTTTGAGATGCGGCAACCAGAACTGCACACAGTATTCAAGGTGTGGATGTACCATTGATTTATATAACGGCATTGTCATATTTTCAGCCTTATTATCTATCCCTTTCCTAACGGCCGGCTCCAGCTCTTTTGCCGCCCCAAGCGGCGAAGAGGGGAAAAAAAAAAGATAAAGCCGCATTCGGCAGCAGCTCTACCGCGCCGCTTCATTCTTCAGCGGCAATTCGTCGTCCGGTCCTTCCCTCCAAGAGGGACTGAGGGACTTGCTACCGAAGACCCGGACGTGCTGCCCCTTCCCATTGGCCGCCCCAAGCACCTGCTTCCTGCGCTGGTGCCTGGAGCCGGCCCTGTTTCCTAATGGTTCCTAGCATTCTGTTCGCTTTTTTGACTGCTGCTGCATGCTGAGCAGATGTTTTCAGAGAACTGTCCACAATGACACCAAGATCTTTCTTGAGTGGTAACAGCTAATTTAGAGCTCATCATTTTGTACGTATAGTTGGAATTGTGTTTTCCAGTGTGCATTACTTTGCATTTATCAACACAGGGCAACAAAATGGCAGATGAAATTCAATCACCCAGTTTTGTAAGATCCCTTTGTAACTCTTCACTGTCAGTTTTAGACTTAATTACCTTGAGTAATATTGTATCATCTGCATACTTTGCTACCTTACTATTTACCCCTTCTTCAGATCATTTACTGCACTGGTCCCAGTACAGATCCTTGGGGGACCCCACTATTTACCTCTCCGCCTTGTGAAAACTGACCTTTTATTCCTACCCTTTATTTCCTATCTATTAACCGGTTACAGATCCATGAGAGGATTTTCCCTCTTATCCCATAACTCCTTACTTTACTTCAGAGCCTTTGGTGAGGGACATTGTCAAAGGCTTTCTGAAAGTCCAAGTATGTGATCTCAACTGGATCATTCTTGTCCACATGTTTGTTGACACGCTCAAAGAATTCTGATAGCTTGGCAAGGTATAATTTCCCTTCAGAAAATCTGTTGACTTTTCCTCCAACATATTGTGTTCATCTATGTGACTGATAATTCTGTTTATTTACTATAGTTTCAACTAATTTGCCTGGTACTTAAGTTAGGTTTACCGGCCTGTAATTACTAGGATCACCCTTTGGAGCCCCTTTTTTAAAAATTGGCATTACATTAGCTATCCTCCAGTCATCTTGTACAGAAGCTAATTTAAATGATAGGTTATATACTGCAGTTAGTAGTTTCATAATTTCATATTTGAATTCCTTCAGAACACTTGAGTAAATACCATCTGGTTCAGGTGATTTATTACTGTTTAATTTAAAAAAAAAAGGTTGCTGTTAGTTTGTCTCTTTTGCTAGTTGCTCTTCAAATACTTTTGTCCTGCCTAATTATATAGCAATAGCCCACCATAATTGATTAGTCTCGTTAGAGTTGGTATGGCAACACTCATTTTTTCATGTTCTCTCTGTGTGTGTGTGTGTGTGTGTGTGTGTGTATACACACCTCTACCCTGATATAACGCTGTCCTCAGGAGCCAAAAAATCTTACCGCGTTATAGGTGAAACCGCGTTATATCGAACTTGCTTTGATCCGCCGGAGTGCGCAGCCCTGTCCCCCCGGAGCACTGCTTTACCGTGTTATATCCGAATTCATGTTAGATCGGGTCGCGTTATATCAGGGTAGAGGGGTGTGTGTGTGTGTATATATATGTGTGTGTATATCTTCCTACTGTATTTTCCACTGCATGCATCCGATGAAGTGGGTTTTAGCCCACGAAAGCTTATGCCCAAATAAATTTGTTAGTCTCTAAGGTGCCACAAGTACTCCTCGTTCTTTTTGATAACAGAATCTGTACACTACATTTCTTGAATAGGGGGTTAAAAGTATTGTTAATTGAGAAGATCAGATATTATATAGTACTCTGCTGTATTCTGACTTGGGAAAATCTCTGAAACAGCTGGAAAAACATCTGTCAGCATTTGGTTTGATAATAGTCCCCAAGGGTGGTGATTTTCCACTGAAGTGCTATACAGGTTTTCAGCCTCACAAAGAGACAGCTGTCTCCAGTGTAACCTTAATAAAGCTCTCTTTTTGGCAGGTCATCTTTGAATTTATTGAAGCCAGCATTTACTACTACTTAGCCTGTGCGCAACGTGCCTCAGGGAGCATGTGATCAGGATTCATCACCTGGAATTTGGTCCGCTGGTTGGATCGTTAGCTTCCTCGGCTTGGGCCGGTTCGGGTACCGACAGGGAGTGCGACGTGAACGCTGATCTGTGCCCCCCAGTATTTGCTGAAAATTGACAATAGCTTTCAAGCATGGATTGGATTACTGTCCATTTTGTTTCACAAATTGATTTTGTGCCTCTTACCAAGCATCTCTGCATCCTTCTTCCATCATCCACCTGCAAGTTTAAGTAACACTTTTCAGTTAGGTGTCGCTTTGCTTCTCAGCCCTCTCAGGTGCAAGTGACCTTTAGGTAGCTGCTTTCAGTCAGTGAATTGAATCAGCACTAATGTGAGGCACTGTTGTGCCTCTCACCCTTTCCCAATCTGCCCTTACCATACTGTCCAACTTGAATTATTTCTGTTATTAAATTTCATTGTCTTGTCTTGTAGGTTTTGCAGTAGCCCAGTGTATAAACCAGCCCAATCCATCACCGCTTTCATCACCATCTCCTTCTTCCAGTGGCAGTGGGAGTACTGGACATTGTGATTCAGTTACTGCCAGCTCAACTTCCACTCCCTCTGCAGCACACAGTCCATCAGGTAAATCACAGTTTTCAGCCTTGGCATCCAGCATGCACACTAGTTTATTTTATAAATGCTTATTGGATTAAATTGTAAGTCATGTTTCAGACCTTTTTTACTATGCTGGATGGTTTTGCAAAAGAGATTGTGAAGATCTTTTCAGCTGTCTGTGGATACTTTACTATTGTCAGTGTTGATTTAAATGCTCGTTGAAAGATGCACCTTTACCTGCTTTCTCTTTGTCTGCTAGCAGGTTGTCTGCTCTAGTTTGTTTTACCTGGAATTATAATATGGCAGATTTATAGCTCAGCTGGAGCCCCTGTGAATAAGTGTGAGATTCTGCACTCAGTGTAACTTTATGCAGCTGAATGGTTTTGTTCACACACCACTTCTTGTGGTTGTGCCATTTTATTTTTAAAAATAAAATGACTCACTTTTTTATATTTAAAACTGACAGTTATATTTGTATTGTATCTATAGGGCAAACATGATCTGTTTCAGCACATGTTGTCTCTAGATTGTTACATGGTAAAAGTTGGGCCATGATTAATGTGGAGTTTTGGTTAAACAGACATTTGAGGAGACTCAAATACATGCATTCCACTGGGGGAGAGGAAGTTGGCACGTATGCTGACTGACAATAGTAACTTGCTTTCAAAAGTTTTTTACACAGCAAACCACGGTGGTGCCATTATGCAAAAGTGCCTAATGTGAATATTTACAATGAGATTCCTTTTTGCAATCCCAGTTAGGACTTCCTTTTCCATTCTTCCTTTATTTGTGAAGTATTTGTTGAACATCCCGTACTGGCATTTATTCTGAACTTTCATTATATCAATCCATTCATTGACATACATGAATCAGAGAGCTGCTGAGACACAGTTGGGGGCAAGGCAGGAAAGTCATTCTGCAGCAGATTCTCCTTGAAATGCTTCCATTGTGCACCTGCTCCACTCTAACCAGTTTTGGTTTTGAAAATTGAGGTGACTAATTTTTTAAAAAACAATCAAGGTGGACAGCGATTCCCAGGCTTGAAATGTGGATAGTCACCTGCAATTCTGATTACCATTCTGAGTGGCCATTTCATTTTCTGATCTTAACTCATAGGCATTCTATTGTTACCATCCTTGGGGAGCCTGAGAGAGACCTATTTAAATTTATTGCAGGGGGCTGTGTTCTAAAAATGAGATTTTTTTTTTTATGGTTTTGACAAGCATTCCATGATCCACACTTATGAAATTCTAAACCAATTAGTAAACACTAAAAAATGTGGTAACATCAACCTTATATTAACATTTCAGAAGCAGGATGAGTTAAGTTGCATGAAGTACTATGTACTCCAGTACCAATAAAGTGGCATTAAAAAATCGTCAGAAAGTATATAACTTTGTAAAAGATGATAATATTGTGTGTTTACATAGCTACTCAGTCGTGAGGTACATACCCTGCATACTTGCCCTTAAGCCACATCTTAAATTTTGCTTAATTTTTCAGTGTCTGATTGTCCTTAATTACCACATGGTCAGAAAGTGAAGGTCCATTCAACTATCACTCTATAAAGAAATGGACACCAAAAAAAAAAAAGCCTAGTTTTGAGATGACTAGTTCTGACTAAAATCACTTCTCAAGCTTCTGGGTATTTATAAAATGCTGTCAAGTGTTTTTATCAAAATCCAAGAGGCTCTCTGTCTGCCACAAATAAAATCTCTGGGGGATTGCATAATTCTCATACATTTAACTGATTGGACTCTATTCTGTCAAGGAGGGAAGTGAGATAGAGTCTAAGATCCCTTCTGAAAATGCCTGCTGCCAGCCATTATCCAAGAAGCTGTAAACTCCATTATCTCTGACGATCATGACCTTTGTAGTCACCTGGTGAGTAATGCTGTCTCTAAGGTCGCCAGGATCCAAAGCACTTAGGGCTTTATAGGTCAAAATCAAAACATAAACTTTACCAAGAAACAACTTGGTGATCAGTACAGATCATGTAGCACAGGGTGATCATTCTCCCTGCTAGAAGTACCACTTAAGTGGGCTGCAGCATCCTACATCATTTTAAGATTGAGTGTAACCCTATGTAGAGCACCCTACAGTCATCCTAACTGGAGGTTAAGGCATACACTTTGAAAAGTCCTCATCTGAAAGACTGAGGACATAACCTTCTTGTCAGAGATGAAAATACTCTGTCATTAGTCACAAAAAATCATTGTCTATATAATCCTTTTCCCCACCTCTCTCTACAACATGTAGAGATACATTGCATCGCCATTTTGATATAAAACAAAATATGAAATTCAAAGTACTAAACTAAAACTCATCTTTTAGTAACTTGCTCAGAGTTTTGAAATGACCTTGTAGACATTTATCATTTCTGAGTGTTACAGTCCTTGTTCGCTGGTGATCACTGAAATTGGATCTATCAAAAGAGAGAGAAGTATGTAGGGATTGAGGGAATGAAGAGATGGTAGGATTTTCAAAAGCTCCAGTCTGAAATGGCCTCATATGCAAGATTTATATAGATAGAAAACATGCTTATATAGCTGAGGAGAATGCGACCCAAAAACTCCATCTAATGTCTACATGCTGTAGTTGAATCTTTAGTGTGGCCATGAGCTGGCATAAGTAAATGTGCAATCTGACTCTTGTCAATGATGGCTGAGAAAAAAAGAACCGTACATTAATTTTTGTTACACATATTACAGTAGTGTCCAGAGGCCCCATTGTGCTGTTTGCTGTACAGACGAAAAGAGAAGACCCAAAGAGTCTGAATTTAGGTCTTCTACCACTGTCAGAAGGAATCCTTCTACAGCAAGACAAAGCATTTTTCATTCATATAGTACTTCCTTATTTTATACTATTAAACAATGGTTTCTGGTTACACGTGGTCACCCAAACTCAAGTATCTGAATTCCTGCCTTGAGTCATATTACTTATTCCAGGCAGATGTCTTTTATTTGTGACCAGCCGTGACATCCATGAACAATTCAGTTAATCCAAAGCAGATATTTCCCTATGTAATAATATGAGAAGATGATAGTTTATAGCCAATGGCATAGTTACAATTTTCCAAAATCTATTCATACAGTGTGCTGTTTCCAGTAAACTTTTATTTATTTTAATCCCATAATTTAAAGTGCTCAGTCAGGTGGGGCTTTTCATTGTTGACTACAGATATCAGAGTAAGGTTTTGAAATGTTTGTTTTTCAGTGTCAAGATGGTTGAGGTAATGTTTTTTAGTGGACCAACTTCTGTTGGTAAGAGACAAACTTTCAAGCCACACAGCGCTCTTCTTCAGGCTGAAAAACTTGCCTCTCTAACCAACAGAAGTTAATACAATAAAAGACATTAGTTCACCTACTTCACGTTGCTAATATCCTAGGACTGACATGGTTACAACTACACTGTTTTTCAGTGTCTGCACTTTGGAATTCTACTAAATCACTTAGATTGAGTGAGCTACCCACATTAAACATAACCCATGTTCTGGTTAGTTCACAGTCATAAAATTCTACTGTTCTGCAGGAAGAAATACTTAATTTAAAAAAAAAAAAAACAGGCTCTCATTGAGTTTCACTGAATAACCCTGCAAGACAGGAGGAGATTCTAAAGTTCCAGGGTTCTGGGTGTAAGGTATTTTGACTCTTAATCTTCCCCTGAATAGCTTTGTGGAATCATTATCAATGCCCTCACTTCTGGAAGTGCTGCCTCTGAAATTTGTACTCTTAAAAGCAATGCATTGATTTACCCTGATTTGTAGAAACAATAGCGCCCTTCCAGGAAGTTACCCCTTCTAGGAGCAGCAATTCCAGGAGAAAGGTCACTACAACTGTTTTTTCTCAGAGTTGATTCACATAAGGGTAGGTTTGCAGGATACCTGCAATCTGTTTATACTGCATCTGGCTCATCTCTGTTGCACATAGTGATCTTATTTAAGTTTCATTCCATTCCTATTTGTAAAGGCTGCTATAACATTTTTAAAATAAGGCATTAGGAAAAAAATATGCTGATACACATATAATTGGTTTTGCTGTTTTAAAAACTAAGTTTGAAAGGCTACTGATTTTTTCCATAATCTTTCATAAAAAGTCCATTTTTTTTTAATTCTGCACACTATTGATGCTGACTCTTTTTTGATGGTTAATCTACATTTCCAATATATTATACTTGGGAAATTTTTATCCCATTGAATAGCTGTTAAAGGCATTTTCCAACAGGACACTTGCGTAATGTGCCCAAATTACTGAAAGTTACACAATAAACTAGAAATCCCCCACCTGTCCAATTATAGCACTTATCCAGAATTGCAGTATATGAAGTGAAACTTTTAGTTCAGCTTCCAAACTGTACTCATTGCCAGAGGCAGAGATTTTAAAAAACATGGAATCTGATTGGCGTGCTCTGGAAAAGCAAACAGTGGATGCAATAGACTTCTGACATTATAGAAACTTTTAATATACAATGAAAGTTATTTGCTACCACTTCTGTTTACATCAAACAGAACCATGGTATTTTCCTTCACGAGGGACGTCACTAAATGTTTTGTATATTACATGCCTACTACATTTCAGTCACTGGGAGAGGACAGTGGTTATTTATCTACTTTTCTGTGAATAAATTAAGCTTTTTCCAGCTCTTAATGCTGCTAGACACACTGATAGTTAATGTTATATTCCATGACATAGACTTTTAAAGTTATAGCAACCTTTAAGTCCTTGTGTAGAAAATTGTGGGGTTAAATCGGGGGTGAGCAAACTTTTGGGCCCGAGGGCCACATCTGGGTATGGAAATTGTATGGTGGACCATGAATTCTCACAAAATTGGGGTTTGGGGTGCAGGAGAGGGTGAGGGCTCTGGCTGGGGGGTGCAGGTTCTGGGGTGGAGCTGGGGATGAGAGGTTTGGGGTGTATGAGGGTGCTCTGGGCTGGGACCGAGTTGTTCGGAGGGCAGGAGGGGGATCAGGGCTGGGGCAGGAGATTGGGGCATGGGAGGGGGTCAGGAGTGCAGGATCTTGGTGTTGCTTACCTCAAGCAGCTCCTGGAAGCAGCGGCATGTCCCTCCTCCGGTTCCTACACAGAGGTGCGGCCAGGCGGCTCTGCGCACTGCCCGGTCCGCAGGTGCTGCCCCTGCAGCTCCCATTGGCCATGGTTCCCGGCCAGTGGGAGCTGCGGGGATGGTGCTTAGGGTGGGGGCAGCATGCGGAGCCCCCTGGCTGCCCCTACACATAGGAGCTGGAGGGGGGACATGCTGCTGCTGCTTCCGGAAGCCACAGCCCATATGGAGCAGGGCAAGCCTGTGACTCCACTCCCTGGCGGGAGCTTGAGGGCCAGGTTAAAACATCTGGAGGGTCGGATGCAGTTTGCCCACCCCTGGGTTAAATGTAGCTCTTGCAATATCTCTGATTGTTCCTTAGAAGTGAAAAAGCAGAAGTTGTTGTGTACTGGAAGAAAGGAAAGTCCCTAGAGGGAAAGAGCAAACAATACAGTCAAAACAAGTCAGATGCATTGCTAGCAGGTGTTATACTTCCTTGAAGTAATATGCCCATGTGAACAGTTGCTGTGTATAAGATGAAAACATTCTCCTGGTAGTCATATCTTCGCCACTGTGCTTTTTGAGCTTACAGTGTAGCCCGTTTGCTGTCAGTAACGGAAAAATGTATTATTAAATGTGCTAATATGTGTATAGTAAATGGGATAGGGAAGCTTTATACTTCTGTAGAATTCGTATGCTAGCCTACAGTATATAATCATTGTTACACCATATTTTACTGAGTATTTTTAAAACTGTCAAGTCATAAAATGCAGCTGGTTTGATCTTGCTTTAAGAAAATATTTAAGGGATGATAACAGGATATATAAGCCAGCGCTAAGTAATGAGCGTTTGGGGTTTCAGGAGGTTTTTCCCTTCTTGTATGCCATTTACAGGATACTGCGCTCCTAGTTGGGGCATAAGTTGCTTTGGAAGTGAATGGATTAAAATGGAAAGGATAGTCCTTTGTTGCTGAGTTACAGTAATTTGCATTCTGATTTGTAGAGAATATATATTCCAAAATTCTGAGCACTGGGATCCTGTAGAAAAATGCATGCCATCTTGCTGACACCTCCTCTGTCCCTTCCATTTGTGATTCAGTAACCTAACAGTGGTGGTGTTTCAATTCTGTTATGCTAGTAATCCTCTCTGTTAACTAGGTATAAAAATACTTTTGTTTAACTAAAGTTTCTTTTCTAGAATCCTACCTATGTGCTAAGCAGTCTTTCTCTTTTCTTAACTGCTGGTTGTCACTTGATATCTCTTTAAAATACTGCCCTTGGCTTTGTTAAAATCCAAGTGCAATATTTCAGTTTCATGTCTTTGAGTAGCAATATTGGATTGTCCAAAATATTATCCCTTTGGCAAAATAGCACATGCTATCATATAATGTATTGCCACCGTAGGATCGGAATATTACTAGCACACCAACATTTCCAAAAGATTGGTTCTGTTTCATATTTTTAACGTGTCTGGCCAGATTACAGTGTAAAAGCCTACCAATCCTGCCTCAGTGTAACTTCAGTGAGAGTTCAGCTGGTGTCAGAATTGCAGGATCTGGCCCTAAATACCATAAGTAAATCTCCAAATACGTAGGTAACAAAATAACATGATTTTAATTAGTTTGTAAGGAACACTAAATACACACACAACCTTCAGAAGCATTTTCCTATCTTACAAGGCTCTTGATGTGACTTAAGATACCACTCAGAATACCAGCAGTTATGAATAAGTCCCTGTCACTTATTCTTGTTGATACTCTAATATTTATCCTTTGTGTCCATTCCAGTTTCCCTTCTGTTTCGTTGTGAAAGCCTTTGTATGATGTATCACTGTGTTTTCCTCTAGTAAGGTCTGGCAGGAAAGGACGACGGCGGGTGTTTAGTCTGTCGGAGGCTGACAGTCACGGTGGACACTGGGTTTAGGTCTTCAAGCAGCAGCTGCAACCGCAACTCGTGCAAAATCAATGCAGGCAGGTTCCTCCATAAGATTTAAAAAGGCCACAACATTTAATAGAGCATAGCCATTATCTATTTCCATACTGACAGAATGACTATCTACTATTATATGCATGAGATATAGAACTTAAAAATAGCATCCACTTGTATTTGGTTATTCTAGTTAAGAGCATCATACGTAGATATAACAATTGACTTCTAAAAGGTTTTAACTGGTGGTTTCTCATGTTGATTATTCTTGGTTATCGTGCTAAAAAAATTAAAACTCCTCTTTGCCTGGAAAAGGTACGTCAAGTCCCAGCTTTCAAGCAGCCATGTCTTCTCTTGAACAGGGGCAGCTATGGCTCCAGTGGAATTCAGTAAGCAGGGGTTTCTAAATTGGCATGAATGCAAACAGCTAGCCAGTCCAGCTGCAGGACTGTAACTCAGGTGCAAAAGAGAAACTTTCAGCTAAAGACTGTCCAGGATTTGATCAGTCATATTTTCTATTCCTACAAAAATTCTCAGAATCTAGTCAGATGTTGTTATGGAATTATTTTTTCTGTCTTTGCTTCAACCAGGCAATTTAACATTGGATATGAGAAAGTGGAAAAATTAGCCTCAGGACATTACTGAATAACTGTGTTTACTTGGATCAGACTAGTCTCTTTTTGTATTCTTTATAGTAGTGGCATGAAAATAGAAAAAATATTGCCAGTTTTGTTAGATGATATATAAACAACTTCCCTTATTTTTGGTAGATTTTATTAATACTCTTCTCACTTAGTTTCCTAGTTGTGTTTTAGTTATTTATTTTTATCCTTTTGTAGTGTTGCTGCATGATTTAATTAAGAGACCATGTCTGACTTTTTTTTTTCTTGCTCTGCTCCTTTCTGCCTCTTTTTTCCAAATTACCCCACTTAACACTGTCATTTTTGTAGAATTAATCTAGGTGTTATCCTGCAACTGCTGAGCAAATCCTGGGGGTGCTGTGCACCCTCACTTATCACTGAACCTGGTGGGAGTTAAGGGCAATCAACACCTTGTGGGATCTAACCCTTATTTTGCAAACTCTAATCAGAAATTACTTAACTGCATAAGAAAAAAGTTTACCCAATATTTTTCAAATGTTAATTTCTCACATCAGCCCAGCACACTCTCGTTCCTACGAGTTACTGCACACCCCAGGAACTAGAGAACTAGTTAAGATAAAAAGAAACCCCCTTCACCATTTTTGTGCAAAAGTCAAATTGAACTGCCACATTTGGGGAAACGCTGACTAATATCTTAGAGGTGGCAGTGCCAGAATAACATGGGAGAATTCTATTCTCTCAAGATACCAGCTGCTTTGTTACTCTCTCTCTTGCGTCTCAGTGCCTCATTGATTTGATTGAGGCTTGACATCCAGGAGTGAGATCCTGTGAGATAGCTCCAAAGAAGCAGAATATTCCCTCATTAGGGCATTTTCCGCTGGGCCTGGGGCAGGAATTCCCACAGTTCTTGTGAGAGTACGTATTCTTGCCAAATGTCCAGCCCATGTCATAGACTCTAGAGTTTTGGATCAGCTATAAATAGGCATTCAAACCTTCAGATGCTTCCCTGAACTGAACTCAAACTCCAAACATTTTGTAGTTGGTGACTAATATATTCTCTCACTGATAGAATGATACTGAAGGACGGTAGCTCAGTTAACACCTCTGGAGGCTACCCATAGAAATCCTTTTGCATCAAGGTGATACTTTGATATCCACCATAAACACCTTGTATAGTACACATTTTCAATGTCAATTGGTCCTCTTGCTCTGTTCCCTTGGATCCTTATTAACTCAGTTGCCTGATAATGTAAGATCATGTAATTATTTTTTTCTAGCCTTTTAAAATATTTTATACCTCGTAAGGAGGAGTGTTTTAAATTAGACATAGATCTTACCTTTTAAACTGATGTAAGTTACCGACATCCATTAGAGAAATCAAAAACGTTTGTCATGCTAGTACTAGTTACCCCTATGCTGCTGTTCATTGTCTGCCCTCACTAGGGGCTATTTTTTCACTAATCCATAGTTACCATTGTCAGGCACCCTGCTGGGATGCAGCAAATTTGTCACTGCTACCCTTAAATATAGCAATACAGTAAAGGAAATGAAGTTCAGGGAGCTACTAATGGGTTATGGAAAGTAGATGATGAAAGAAAAATTACAGCCATTAATAATAAATATAACTTAGAGAAAAAATACAGTACAGAAGATCTCTATTTCTGTACTTTCTATTTATAAATACTACAGCTGAAATATTTCAAGGGCAAGTTGAATTTGTTTTGCTGATATTTATGGTGCCATTTTCTAATCATTCCTCTAAGGTTGTTTTACAGTGTGTTGAATAGAAAATTGCATTTGTTGGCCCTGGATATGTTCCCCAGATATTTTTCAACCATTTATTTTTCCTTATATATAAAAAGTGGGAGACATTTTAGCATTCATTTAGGTATTATATATGATTGGAAAAAAAAAAAAAAAATTAAAAAAAAAAAAAAAAAGCTTTGTCCTCCATAGGATTAAAAAAAAGCATTTAGGATTATACCAACATTTCTATATAAGGGAAAATGACAATAATTAAAGCAGTCAGGCATAGAACTAAAATGTAACAAATTTTTGAAGAGCTGCAGTAGAGCTGCATATTTGTGTCCATACATTTACCAAAATTACTAATGTGTCTGAATAATAAATTTTAGTGAGTGTTTTCACGATATTCAAAAGCCCAGATTACAGTTAAAAAAAAAATAGAAATTTTAAATTTGTTTAGTCGTGGATCTTATTTTTTTTAACTATCATAATAAATACTGCAGACATTTAAACAACTACACTACTACAAAAAGACTTACTGGTTGGACTTTATTTAAATGTTAGTAATGGCCTTGGAATTCAGAGAAATAAAAATTCATGTTCAACATTTTCTTAGCAATTCTTTGTCTTTCATGCAAGTCTTACATCGTTTCCTCTAATATCATTTACCACATTCTCCCCAAAGCTTTTTTACGGCTAATAAGAAAAATCTGCAGGGTTATTTTGCATCAGCGCTGTCTTTCAAAAGACAGCTAGTGGTGACCCTTGGGGGAAAAAGTGGGAGCCAAGATTTTGCTACAATTTATAAATCTTGTTTTGTTTTTTTTTAAAAAAAAACAAACCAACAAGAAGCTGTAGCCCGCAGACTGTCAGCAAAAGTGAAATGAAGTGGTTTCTGAAGTGAAAATACACATTTGTTTGGAGTCTTGTTAGCAGAAAGATGAGAATTCTGTAATGGAAGGAATAAAAACCATGTCTCTCACCCACACCCAAACCACTCATTTTCTCTCTCTTGGGTGACCATTCTTATCTTTTCATTCCATTCTAAGCTCTGCTGTTGTTTTTTTTTCTTGTGTTTTGCCTTAAGTTTATATTTTCTGTTCTTACAGGATTAACTGGAATTCATATTGAAACTGAAATGTCTTTAAAGGTCATTCTGGAGTTTAAAAAAAAAAAAAACAGTCCTCGGCTTTCTCTCTACTCACTAGAATGCCTTGTAGAATTTTCTGCAGACTGCAGAATTTTCTTGTGCACTTACACATGCTGTCTCTGAAATGAAGAGCCATGTAAATAGTCTGTCTGGTAGCTGGTTACCTGTGTTACTCCATTTGTGTTAGTTACTGTAATCTGAAATGATGCATATTGGCCTGACCTGGGAGATTTTCTAATATAGGACAAAACTTATAAACCAATTGGGGTTTTTTCACCTCTGAAATATCCATTGATGCCAAATTAGCAATTTTTCCATCACTTATTTAGGATTTTTAAGGAAGAGGTGTAAAGGAATGTTTAGTTATTAAAATGCTTCTCATTATGTGTAATTATTCCTAGCCACCTTCATTTTGTTTGCTCAAGCAAACAAAAGTGCAAGAAGAATAAACATTCCTATCTGCATTAACCGAACGGTTCTGTAGAATTATTCTCCTTCCTAATCTCCCATGGTTGAATTGTCACGTTTGATTGTTTCACAGGTTCATTAGAACCAGGTTTCTTGAATTCTACAGTTTTCTGTTTCCAAAGAACTTTCTGATGTGGGGTTATGTTGGTTGCTCTAATCTATGCTAAATTCTAGGAAAGCTTTTTTCACTACTCTCCTCCACTTCATCCCACCAGAAATAATAGTAATGTCACACTGTCACATTTCAAAGGAATTACTTACAGATAGAGTATTTAATAGCTGTCCTTAATTCAAAAAGCTTACAGCTGGCATTTCACATCTCTGTTAAATATTTCCTGTATTTCATTATTTACATAACCAAAAGGTACATGTGTAAACATGTTGCTTCATGGATCTTTGGTTTCCTCCTGAGTTTTTTAAGTAAAGAGCTTTATACTGTTGGTGTTTGTCAGGTGTATTGAGCACAACTCAGATGCTAACTACTGCCTAATGTTTTCTTTAGTAGATGACTCTTCAGTTCCTGAACAGCCTCCCATGACCTTTTCCAGTCAGGTGATGATGGTTGATGAAACCTCTTCAGCTGCCTCAAAATCTGGCAAGAACCCTGTAAAGAACTCTGAAGTGGAAACAGCTAACCTATCCCCTAGCCTGATTCCTGCACAACAGCCTACAATATCTCTAATCTCCGATGACAGTACAGATGCACTGAGCGTAGAGTCACTTACACTGGTCCCACCGATTGATCCACAAAGCATTCATACTTTCAGCTGCATTCCTCAGTCTTCCTTGCCTTCTGAAGTTTGTGGAGTGACAGAGGGAGAGGGTTCTGATCAAAATCAACAAGCAGACTGTGATGAACAGTGAAGAAAATGCAACTGACTGCTCTGTATTTTCTTTAAGTGAGGTGATGGGGGCATTAATAAAGCCACAAAGGCCAGTTGGCTCACAAGAAAGAGGCCAGTTACTCAGTAACTCAGTGTATGGGCAACTCTTTAAAATAAACATTATACATTCAGCATTTTTGAAGGAAATCTCTATTGTAATATGGGAAAGTGAAGAAGCTTTGTTGGGCTACCTTGGCTTCATGATGTTTTACTTCTCCAAATATGGAGAGACAGCATTTGCCAGAAAAAGGAAATATTTTAGGATATTATAGTACAGAGATGCTGTTTCCATTTGAAACAGTTTTTCTATTCTGTTGGTCTCATTCAGCTTTTAGAGGTATGGCATAAAAAAAACAGACTTGGCCACTTTCAGTATTGTATTCATAGGATTGTAAGCTTTAATATTGTATCCTCTGTGTAATATTTATTTCAATGTTTGACTCAAGGCAACATAAATATCAAGGAAAGATTTTTTATTAAAATGAAACAAACCCCTGATATAACAATCAAAGGCTTATTCGGGTTAATAGAAGACGTTTTTTGAGAGGCAAATTATGTAGTTTTTTTGCATAACCAACTACAGAGGAATGTGAAGTATTTTTAGACCCTGATGTTCTACATTTTCTTAAGTGATTGTTTTAGTCTGTTTGTTCACTTCTGACAGAGGCAAATTCCCTTCTGCAGAAGGACACTATCTCTTCTTTAGAAACAGCTACAAGAGCTTGTGCTACATACAAGTTTCCATCTCCAATGTAGCCAGGAAGGCACCTTACTCAGCTGATGATATCTCACTTTAGAAGGATGAAACTCAAAAGGGAATTTTTCTATCTGGAACCAGCTAACCCCGATGTTAACCAGATTAAACTTCTCAGTGAATGTTAATCTGATCTGAAGCCTATCTGATCTGTTGGTCCTGGTACAGAGAAGATAGAAATTAAAGAGAAACCATAACACTTGGCGGCAGTTTGGCATGTTCTTTGCTGAATTGATTCATACCTTAACATGAATAGAATTTAACCGCTCTCAAGTAAATCTGAAGTGCATTCATTGCAAGTGGTGATAAAACTAGCAGGGAATAATTATTGCTGCATAGATGATGATGAAAAGTATTTCCTGGTTCTCAAAAATTAACACACACTTGTTTTTGCTTCTTTTTTTATTTTAGTTAGCCACAGAGCCTATTATGTGATTCTGTCCCTGTTGAAATCAGTGAGAATTTGCCATTGCATTCAATGGTAACAAAACTAGACTCCAGTCTTGTGTAGTATTAATTTGAAAAGTGCGTATCTATCTTCCATTCACCCTGCCATGGTTACATGATTGTTTGGCCCTCAAGAAGGGAATACTTGAGCAGGATGTTTTAAAGGTTGTATTTGTATATTTGACACACCTCTGACTTTTGGTCTAACTTTGTTTGCTGCTTGCTTTTTCAGGCTTGGTCCTTTGTGAAGTAACTTACCCTTAGCAAAATACACATATACATAATGTTAGAAGTGGTGGTGGAGCCAGTAAGTGTTTGTTCCTGTGTTCATAATTGACTGATTCAGATCTGTTACACTGACTCCTTTTCACTCCTGTGGACTTCAGCAGGTGTTTAACCAGTCTATCTGAGAGTCTGATCCTGCAAATGCGATGGCCCCAAGCCCCACATGAAGTCTGAGAGTTGGTGGTTCTCCGCACCATTCAGGAGATGCTTAGGAACTTGTGGAACCAAACTCAGATCAGAATTTGGCCTTCGGGTGGAATGGGAGCCCATATTTCTTTTGGACTGTTCTTAGACATGGTAGTTGAAAGACCATCTCAAACATGATTACCTGCTTATTTTGAAAATCTTCTTTTGTGCTAGATGTGACATCTCACTCAACCTAGAGCACAGAAAATGCCATATTGCAAAGTAAACTGTTCTAAATAGTGTTACTTTTAAATGGAAATTTGGGGTCTTTGTTAAAAGAAACATATTTACCTAATTTAAAATTACATTCTAGTTGAATTAAGTCAACAGGCACAAAATAGGCCAATTAGCAAGCAATGCACCTTCTTACCTCTAAGCCATAATGCACACTAAGAGGGGACAAAGGATTTTTTTTTAATAAGCTTACAGAAAAATAAGACTTGAAAGGAAAGTGTCTTAGTCTCTGCTTCCAGGTACATTGTGGTACTTGAATTGTCTGCTGGAAGTTTTAAAGGGAAGAGGAGGGTGAAAACATGTATTGATAAAGAGAAAACAGAATAAATGACTAAACAGTTATGTCATTCAAACAATTGTTCAGACTGGTTCGTTTCTAATCTTAAAACGTATATAAGAATTGACAATGCTTAATGCTGCATTAAGGAGAGTTCACTATTTAAAACCCCTATAGATACTGAAATGTATCTTCTGGAAATCTTTGTTCTGTTTACAAATCTAGTGTATTACTCATCTGTTGTTCTTCGAAGAGTATCATATCTATCACTTATCAGAAAAGCTCAAGAGCTGTTTCCTTAGCTCCCTTTCGCTGTAAAAGGGAAGTAGAAACAAGAAAGCATTAGCACAGCAGCCACTTTTTTTTTTAAACAAGAATTGATTGAATCAATATGTTCTCACTATCATCTTAACCAAATCCTCACTGTTCTCCAAACATACGGGTCAAGCTTAAGGCTCAGTATTTTCGGTGCAATTCTGTGGGGTTTCTAAAGAGGATCACTATCAAAATAGCATGTGTAGAAATGGACCAGAACATAACACTGAATTTGAACTCACTCAAATGTGAGGAGATGCTGCGATCTGGTTATGAATTTTGGGGTTTGTTTTCATCCTTTACTCATGGCTCTTGCTGAATGCTAACTAGATAAAGCCCCTCAAATTCCTCCCTGTGAGATGAGACCAGCAAAGAAGCCAGTGGTATACTGAATGTGACTTTTGCTGTTTCTTAGTCTATTCGTCTCACATGTATTTTATCAAATCTGTACCAAGATGCTGTAGTTCACATGGGCTGTTCTGTCTCTCCTCACCTTTGCTCTGCCCCCATCACACTGATGGTCTTAGTAGTTTTCAATGAACTGTAAGAGTAGAACCTAGATTTTCAGTCTAACAGAATAACTGCAACATACACTTAAGTAATCTGGTGTGGGAAAATATCGAGAGATACAGGGCCTGATTCTGATCTGCACTTCACCGAAGGAAATAAGGAATAATTCTTCCGGAGTCAGTGGAGTTATGTGTGTATAAAACTGGTTTGAAGCCTCATTCACTTTCCTGAGGCTTTTTAAAATTTAAACTTAGGAAATTGTATTTTTGGTTTCCTTTGTTGTAGGATTCTGTGGATTAACCATGCTCAGTAGAAATGTTGCCATTGTGTTAATAGATAGATTCATGGAAGATAGGTCCATTAATGGCTATTAGCCAGGATGGGCAGGGATGGTGTCCCTAGCTTCTGTTTGCCAGAAGCTGGGATTGGGTGACAGGGCATGGATCACTTGATGATAACCTGTCTGTTCATTCCCTTTGGGCCATTGGCCACTGTCAGAAGACAGGATACTGGGCTTGATGGACCTTTGGTCTGACCCAATATGGCTGTTATGTTCTTAATATACAAATAAAGAGTCCATAATTTGAGAGGGTAATTGCCCTGGTCCCACAGTAAGAGATGAGTGCACACACATTGTCTATTGCTAATTGGTGGTAGTTGAAAATTCAGATTGGATGAGTTATAGTACATTTTATTAACAAACTGCTGGCTACCCAAGGAAATAGTGCATTTTGTTCCTTATATTAGGCAGAGGGTTGTAAATATGGAATTAACTTGTTAAAGGAGTTCTTCAGCATTCCTCATGACCTTTAGTTCGAGGAGTTCTAAACTTTGTTCAGTTAAGGGCTTTGGTAACAAAAGGTGAGAGGATCTGTTCTTCAATCACATGTATGGAATTAGTGCAAGTAATTTCACATTCTGGATTGTTGTTAAAGACATGCCTGATGCTCAGACCAGAATTCCAGATCAGGGAAGAGTCAAATCTGGATCCCTGTTCACAATTTAAGCCCATCTGTGGTGAGCCTCATAAATCCCTTGCACATCAGTGAGACTAGAAATAATGTTCCTTTGTGGATTTTAGTTCTAAAATTTCATTGCTATCTTATGTGTGCAAAGCTTTAAAAGATATTGAAAGTTAAAATGGTTTAGTTATAGCAAAATGAGCAGCAGCCAGCAGGTTTTAAATTATTCTGATCTTTCTAATTAAGCAATAAGCTGTAATTTCTATGCTGTTATAAGTGGCCTTGGATGATTATTTTAACCACTCTAGATATGCAATAATTACCCTGTAATTGAGTGTCATTTTTCCAATAGGAAATGGATTTTATTAATAAAATGAGGGAAACCCATCAGGTCAAACTGTATCCAGATTTCTGAAGCCATTCATAAAATTCAACAACATGTCTGTTTGCTATACTCTGTGTTTAATGTGTTCTTTTATAATCTCACATGTTGCTGTGCCTGTATTTGCTCTTATGGGTACATAACTATAAAATAACCTACTTAATATTCACTATGCTAATCACTGCTTCTCCACAAAACCACCAGTCGTCTTACTTCACTTCTGAGCAAAGTTTAAAAAGATGAGTGCTGTTAGCTGACAATTTTATTGGACAGCTACTACCTGGAGAACTAAACGCCAACATGAAAGATTTGAGAAGGGAGAGGGAGGCATCAGTTAGGGGCCATGCCCTGGTGAGAAATCTGCCTTCCACCTCCAGCTACTTGGAAGGGAGAGGCTGCTGGGATTTTTACCAGGGTGCTGCCTTTGATCCTTATCTTTCTGGCTACTTCATGTGATATATTTAAAACTCCCTTCCCATCCTATACTCTTCTCTGGATGCTAGAAAGGAGTGTTCTCTTCCACACATATGCAAAGCTCCACTACCCTGCCACTACCACCACCTTGCTGGCCACTGCGCTCCCTTAACCAATTCTCCTTTTTTGCATGGTCCTCTCAAAGAGTAGCTTCACTGCTTGCCTCTCTGTTCAGAGCTTTCCCAAACATCAGCGGGATGAAACTGAAATTCTTGTCAGTCTTACTGCTTCCTACAGGCTTCTGAACAACAGCAGTGAACCTGAGAAGAATTTTGTTAGTTTCACTTTGCTGCTGCCCAGAAAAACGGAGCAGCAACAGCGGCACTGGAAAGAGAGTATTGCACTGGGTCAAATTCAGAAGGTTCTCTTCACACAATAAGGGCCAGAAATGTAATGTTTTTATAATAGAGGTTTAGATTCTGTACAACTATTGCTGTCTTTGGCTCCCCAAAGTTTGTTCAAGCCCTACAGATTGCTAAAATTTCATTCCTTTTACAAAATATTCTATAAGATGTTGCTCGATATTTTTACTAGTATATTACAAATTTAACACTAAATTGCACTTGTCAAAAGAATAGTACATTTTGGAGGCAGTAGCCCTTTTTATTGTATTTGATTACGTGGTAATTTGCGGAATTCAGTCATCAATAATGGGTCATCCAGTCATTAGTGTGAATTAA